GTTCCACTCTGTCCTCTAGGGGCGCTGTGGGTCAGAATGGACTCCACGGCAGTGGGTGTGGTTTGGGCTTTGCTTCCGTGAAGACTGACAGCCTTGGAGACCCTCTGGGGCAGTTCCACTCTGTCCTCTAGGGGCGCTGTGAGTGGAATAGACTCCACAGCAGTGGGTGTGGTTTGGGCTTTGCTTCTGTGAAGACTGACAGCCTTGGAGACCAAATGGGGGTTGCTGTAGAGCGGAATGGATTCTATGGCAGTGAGTTTTGAGTTTGAGTAGCTTGGTGGTCTTTTTCAATTCAGTCCACAAATATTTGAACATCAACTCTTCATAGGTGACCATGACACACAAGATACCTGCTCTCCTAAACAGTTCATTCCAGCGGGGACAGAAATAGGTCAGGAGGGCACGGCTGGAGCGGGGTAAGCAAGGGGGGCATGGTTAGAAATTGAGTTGGAGAAGCAAGCGGAATCCGCAGCCGTGGGCACTGTACTTGCAGTAGTTCGCCGGCTGATGGCCAGACTCCCTCCGGGCTTCCCAGACTTCATCCCATCAATTCAACCTTAGCACCCACCTCGGGCCTCAGCCACCGATCTGGTGACTACCTTCGTCTTGGGGTCACCTCAGCCGGTCGATGCACCTTCGCTGCACCGCGGCCCATAGGGAGCTGTCCGCCCGTCAGTCTTCCTCAATGCGAAGCCCTCTCGGGACCCTCGAGCCGCCAGGTCACCTCAGCTCCAGGCCTCCCCAGAGATTCAGCCTGTCTCCTCAGAGCTTACGCACATTACTCTTTGTTCCCCTGCAGCAGGTTTTCGAAATGCAGCTCCCTCTCGGCTACAGCTGTTTCACTGCCAGTGCGAAGCGCCCAGCAAGCGGCGGCGGCAGCGCCCCCTGCGGCGCACCGAGGGGCCAGGAAGGGAGTGCCCGCCGCCGCCTCCTCCTTCTCCTCCCGGAACGCGGGAGCGGGCTCGGGCGGTGCACGCCCCGAGCGCCGCAACCAAGCTCCTGATTGGCTGCCCCGCGCGACTTCACCGGGAGGGCTCCGGCGGCCGCTGGGAGCCAGCGTTGCGCGTGCGCAGACGCGTGTGCTGAGCGGAGGGGGAGGTGGCCGGCAGCTTCTCCCGCGTCCGCCATTTTGTTGCTGTGGCTCTTGGGAACGGCCTGGGCTAAACCGCCTCGGAGGCGCGACGTTCTTTGGAGTTCGGGGCTTCGCGTGGCGGCGGGTGTCGGTGCGCAGCCGCCCGTTCCACCCTGGGAGTCACTGGACGCGTTCCTGGTACGCCGGACTGCCCAAGACCCCCAAGGCGGCCTCCGCTGGCTCTGGGCTTCGCCCGCTCGGATTCCCGGCTCTGCTCCTCATTCCCCGGGCCGGCTCCCTCCGTGAGGCGGCCCCGGAGCAGGCGGGCGGCTGCGGAGGATGCTGCGGGCCCGGCCGCGCGAGGAAGGTGCGGGCCCAGCCTTCTAAGCGCGCGGCGAGGTGGACCTGGAGGCCCTTCCTTAGCCCCCAAGCCATCTGCCAAGTAAAGGCGTCCAGACCACCCGCCTCCGCGACCAGCCGCAGAGCCCCCGGCCCTTCATCATGTCCTCTGCCAGGTTCGACTCTTCGGACCGCTCCGCCTGGTACATGGGGCCGGTGTCTCGCCAGGAGGCGCAGACCCGGCTTCAGGGCCAGCGCCACGGCGTGTTCTTAGTCCGCGACTCCTCCACCTGCCCAGGGGACTACGTGCTGTCGGTATCCGAGAACTCGCGGGTCTCCCATTATATCATCAACTCGCTGCCCAACCGCCGCTTTAAGATCGGAGACCAGGAGTTTGACCACTTGCCGGCCCTGCTGGAATTTTATAAGATCCACTACCTGGACACCACCACCCTTATCGAGCCCGCGCCCAGGTACGCACCCAACCCGCCTTGCGGGCCGGCTGCTTCGCTCGGGGCCCGGGAGTGTGGGGGATGGTGGCTGGAACCCTCGTTCTCTGTTCGGAGCCCTATTACTTCCCAGGAGATATTCCAAACCGAAAGCTAGTGTCGCGATCCGGGTCACACTGTGCGAGCGTTTTTAGAAATACTGAGCCGTGGTTGCATAGTTGAAAAATACACGCTTTTGGCTTCACACTAAGCCAGGTTTTTGTGTGTGTGTGGCCTTTTTTGGACCATAGACTTCTTTGAGAATTGCAAATAGCCGTGGCGTATTCCCCGAAAATGCATCAACACCCATGTCTGCAAACCATTCAAGGATCGGGGCTGCCTGCCGATCTCTGAGCTGCAGGTTAAGGCCGCCTGGATCGCAGCCTTTGGGACAGTTGACAAATGAAAACGCTGCTCTAGCTTTTAGAAACACTGGCCAGATGAATAGCAGAGCTGTACCTTATTATTCGGGGACTAAGTTTGTCGCGGATTTTCTGTTTTATAATGTATTACAAATGACCAACCCCTTCTCCCCCCCCTCCCCGCACCCCTCAAAAAATACTTTGGTCCCAGGCCCCCCTTTAAAAATATATGTATATTTTTTCCCAAGTTGGACCGTTATAGGCCAGGGAACAATTTGGTTAAATGAAAGAATAAGACTAGCATGTTGCTTACTAAGGGAGATTTTTGAGTGGCACTTGTCTTAGGTCCAGCCTCGTTTGATTTCAAATGTAGTTTCTGTTTTATGTCTAATGATTTTAGTACTTGCTTGAAAGTTTAGAGCCCTTGGTGACACTGAGCAGCAGATAACATGCATAATTTTATTTGAGTATTTGCCACATTAAGGCTTTTATCAGGTCGCCTGATGCTCAGAAGTTTCTTGAAGTATGCCAAATATGAGCTGAAGAAACTGCCTAGAATTTTCTTAAGGGACATGTATTTCTCTGCCCAGTTTGTTTCTTTGATATCTATTCAAAAAGGCCAGGGGATTGGAATAGAGTTTTCAGGATAAGTGGGTACTGACTTTTCACAGGTAAATAACATTTTATTTAAGAACTTTGAACACTGAAAGGTGTTCTGGTGAACCAAGATGGAAGCAACTTTTTGCTTCTGCAGGATAAAGATACAAAAACCAAAGCCAGGACAGGATAATTATTTCAGGCTAACTACTGGCCTAACCAAGGAGCTCTGGTGGTACAGTACATAAAGCATTTGACTGCTAACCAGAACGTTATCAGTTCAAACCCACCAGCTGCTCCTCGGAAGGAAGATGGGGCAATCTACTTCCGTAAAGATTGACAGTTGTAGGAACCCAGTGGGGGTCACTATGAGTCAGGATCGACTCAAAGGCAGTGAGTTTGGTTTGGTTTGGTGGCTGGATTAACTGGGCTGGGAGAAAGTGGTTGTAACTGAAATACTGTGTGACAAAGACCAAGACACCAAGAATCTGATTGGTGAAACGTCGGGTTCTGCACACGCTCGTCATGGCTGTCAGCTTTGAGCACAGTCTGATTCCAGTATCAGGGGTTGGACAGCATCTTGGAACCCACCATAACCGAACCGGACCAAACTCGCTGCCGTCAAGTCGGTTCCAACTCATAGCGACCCCCTTTGGGTTTCCGAGGCAGTAAATCTTTACGGAAGTAGATTGCCCAGTCTTACTTCTGCGGAGTGGCTGATGGGTTTGAACCACTAACTTTCTGGTTAGCAGTCAAATGCCCTAGGCACTACACCACCAGCGCTCCTTGGAACCCACTGTAAGGAGACTATAATGAGTCAGTGACTTCCCTAATTTGTGAAGGTGAATTATATTCCTAATCTCAGGTGTTTATCAAGCCAAGGCCTTGTGCTCATGTTGACGTGACAGGTGCTCTGATTCAGCTGTTTGAAAACGGGTAGCTAATGGGGGGATCCCCTTCTAGAGGGAAAATAGGGTATCCTGCGGTGGTTCCACTCCCCACAAAATTGAGGCCGCGTTTTCCTTCCCTGCGTCTTCCCAGCTACCAGATTTGTCTTTCTGTCTCCTGTGGCTTGTGCAATCGCCATGAGTCTCTTGTCCCCTGCTCGCCATCCCTACTCTTACCTTTGTACCTTGGCGGCTGGGTCTTTGAACGCCAGATTCCACCGCTGGCTTCACTGTTCTAGTCTGCTCACCAATCCGATAACCCCACCCCACCCCACCCCACCCCACCCCACCCCCGCCCTTCCCTGACCCTCCTGAGCCAGGCCTCCCGCTCCGGTTCAGCCGTGTCATTCTTAGGTCCCCCTCCCCCCACTAGCCTGTGGCTGAGATACAAGGTTTGCATTTCCCTGTTCGCATCATCAGTGCACGCTGATTTAGGTCCTGGCTAGCTTTGTGTTTGTAAGCTGAATCCTTGAATTCCCTCTCCCAAGCTTCAGATCAGAGGTTTGAGACTTAGTCTGACATGTTAGTGGCCTTTTATAGCAAAATCACACCTGTCCTCCGGCAGCGAGTGGGCCAGAGCGTTGGTCAAATGCAGAACCGAGCATAATGCTGCTTCAAGCCCCAAACAATACGTTTAAATTGAGCTCTTAAAGCCAGGGTTCCATGACGCTTGGAAAACAAACTTCCTTCTTTTGTTTATTTCACCAAAGTATGTAACTATGGAGTCTTCCTCAGAATTGAAGGACTGGTGCTTGTCTTGATCTAGTCTTGATTCTTTTTATCAGTTTCTTAATTGTTTAAATTTCATTGTGGTCCAATAATATGTAACCAAACATTTGCCATTCTAGCCATTCTTAAATATGTAATTTAGTGATGTTGATTACTTTCGCCATATTGTACAACCATCACCAAACTAAATCCACTGCCATTGAATTGATTCAGACTCATAGCAACTCCCATTGGGTTTCCAAGGCTATAAACTTTTACAGAAGTAGATTGCTTCATCATCCTCCCGCTGAGCAGCTGGTGGGTGTGAACCACCGACCTTCTGGTTAGCAGCCAGATGCTTTATCCACTGTGCCACCAGAGCTCCTTACGACCATCACCACTGTCCATTTTAAAAATATTTATTTTCATTACCCCAAACAGAAACTCTTTATGTACCCCTTCAGCAATGATTCCCCTGTCTCTGCTCCCAACACCTGGTGACTACTAAAAGACTTTTGCCTACAGTAGTTCATGTAAGTGGGATCATAAAATAGTTGTCCTTTCATGTCAGCATAATGTTCTCAAAGTTCATTTGTGCCATAGAGCTTTAGAGCTGACTAATAGGTTATTGTGTGGATATACCACATTTTGCTGTTATTCTCCTCTTGATGGACTCTTGGGGTGTGTCCACTTTGTGGCTACCATTAATGATTCTGCAACGGATATTAATGTACAACTGTTAGTTGAGTCCCTGCTTTCAAGTCTTTTGGGTACAGACCTGGGAGTGGAATTGCTGGCTCCTATGGTAATTTTTTGTTTAACTTTGTAAGGAACCCCCCAGCTGGCTTCCACAGCAGCTGCAGCATTACGCATTCCTTCTAGCAACGTAGAAGAGTTCTGATTACCCCTGCTCCTGGCCACTGCTTGGTATTTTCCATTTTTTCCCTGTTGTTGTTAGCTGCCGCCATTCCTACTCATAGCGACCCCATGTGCAACAGAATGACGCTGCCCAGTCCTGCGCCATCCTCAGTCGTCACTACCTTTGAGCCCTTTGGTGCAGCCACTGTGCCGATCTGCTCCGGTGAGGGTCTTCCTCTTTTTCACTGACTTTATACTGAGCATGATACTCTTCTCCCAGAACTGGTCCCTCCATCCTAGTGGGTGTGAAGTGGTCTCTTCTTGTGGATTTCATCTGCATTCCTCCAGTGAAGTGACAGATGAAGCTAAGAATATTTTCATGTGCTTATTGGCCATTCATTCAATATATTTGTGGGCTTTATACCCATACAAGGAGCTCTGGTAGCATAGTGCCTAAGGCATTTGACTGCTAACCAGAAGGCTGGAGGTTCAAACCCACCGGCCACTCCTCAGAAGGAAGACTGGGCAATCTACTTCGTTAGAGATACCGCCTCAGAAACCCAAGGAGGAGTCACTATGAGTTGCAATCGATTTGACAGCAGTGAGTTTGGTTTTCTGGTTTTGGATCGGCCATTTGCATATTTCTTTGGAAAAATGTCTGTTCAAGTTCTTTGCCGAATGTGTAGTTGCGTTGTCTTTTTGTTGATGACTTGTAGGAGTTCTTTGTATATTCTGATACCCTTATCCAGTAAAAATGTTCCCCAAATATTTCCTCCCTTTCTGTAGGCTGTATCTTTACTTTCTTGATCCTTTAGTTTTCAAAAAGGTTTTATTAATTTATTTATACCTTGTAACATATTAAGTAAAAAAAGGTTTTAATTGGAAGGAAGTCCAATTTCTCTCTTGCTCCTTGGCACCGCCCTTGCCTTCGGTGTCCAAGCCATTGTCGAAAGCAAGGTCTTGAAGCTTTTCCCTGTTTTCTCCTAAGGTTTTTATGAGTTTAGTTTTCACATTTAGTGCTTTAGTTCTCCTTCAGGTCATTGATCCATTTGGAGTTCATTTCCTTATGTGGTGCAAGATAGGGAAGGAATCCTGGTGGTGCAGTGGGTAAGCACTTGACTGCATGCTGAAAGGTCAGCGGTTCAAACCCACCAGCTGCTCTGTGGCAATCTCCTTTCCTAAAGATTTCGGCCTTGGAAACCCTACGGGGCACTTCTACCTATCCTATAAGGTCCCTAGGAGTCAGAATTGACTTTGTGGCGTAGGACTTGGGTGACTTAAGGCCACAACTTCATTCTTTTTCATGTAGAGAGATCTATTTGTCTCAGGACCAGTTGTTGAACAAACTGTTCTATGCCTTGTCAAAAATTAGTCAAATGTATTGTTTGTGTTTGGATTCTCAATGCTGTGGAATGTTCCTTAATTTTCTTTTCTTTTTTTAAATTGTGACTCATGACAACTCTGTAGAACTCTGTAGTATTTTCTTTACTGTAATCTTTTTTTTTTCCTTTAA